CACATTCTCGATCCTATCCAAATCTCTACCCCTATTGCCCTATGCTGTGAATGGGGATCGGGGAATCTCCAAGCCATTTCGTGGGAATGGGGATCGGGAAAGCTTGCTCTTGCCTGTCTCGAAGACATCTTTAGTCGTTATAATAAATTAATAATACATGTTACGACGGTGTTACAACCGTGCACGTGACGGAGTTTTGCACGGAAAAATAAAAGGAAAATCTCTTTGTCTTTGAGTCTACAAGAAACAAGGCAAGGCATCTCCTTTCTTTTTTAAAAAACTTGCAAAGACTTTCTGTCAGCCTCAACGCCGACACCCACCATGTGCTTCAAAAGCCTCTAAAGACCAAATGAAATGCTCCCTTCCCTTACAAATCTTCTTTCCACATTGCCTACAACTTTATGTCTCGAAACCAATTAGAACGAACCTGAGTCGATTCAGCTCGTTCGGCTCAATCCTACTGGTTTTTCATAGCAAAACTGTCTAAAAAAACACCCCGAATCGACAATTAGACACCTCTAATCATTACCAGAGTACGAGGCTGCTGTCGTATGAACTGAAAAACAGAGCCAAGAAACAAAAACCAATGGCTTCTTCAATGTATATTTCATTTCTACAATGTATTGTTAATAGTTTGACAACTCTACATATCAGGAAACAAAAATTTGCAAGAGAATGAAAGATTATGAAGCAGAAAAATCGCTAAAAATCGAAGAGTCTACTCGTATGAACATGCAATATCCCCTATCCCTATCACTAACTGCAGAAAAATGGATGAGTTAGCTAAAAACGAATCGATGTAACGCCTGCGAGTATCATCTCCTACCTCAAACAGACTCCTCCCCTAACTTCTCATCATGAGTGCTTCCATTTTCTTTGCTAAGTTTAGATTTTGGGAAAGAGGAGGCTTGTTTTGATGTTTTGGATTGTTGCTGTCTCAAGTTGAGGTAGGTATAAACTGACATGCCCATTATAGCTGTGAATGCGCCACATATACTGGTTTTGCCTGGATCGGCGTTGAAGAGATAGTAGTTTCCGAGAAGGATGACACAGGTTTTAAACTGCCCGAGTACGACGTGGCTGACAGCAGAGGTAGCCCTGTAGATTTCGTGAAACTAAAAGATTAATAGAAGTAGATCATGTATACCTTAACAAGTTCATACTAGTAAGTTGGACAGATTGGGTTAGCCTTAGGAGTCTAACTCCACCGCTAACAGATATCGTCCTCTTTCGACTTTCCCTTCTTGACTTCCCTTCAAAGTTTTAAGATGTGTCTGCTAAGAAGAGGTTTCCTCACCCTTATAAGGAATGCTTCATTCCTCTCTCCAACCGATGTGGGATCTCACAATCCACCCCCTTTGGGGGCCCAGCGTCCTCGTTGGCACACCACCCGGTGTCTGGCTCTGATACTATTTGTAATAGCTCAAACCCACCGCTAGCACATATTGTCTTTTTTGAATTTTCTCTTCTGGGCTTCCCCTCAAGGTTTTGAAACGCGTTTGCTAGGGAGAGGTTTCCAAACCCTTATAATAAGTAATGCTTCGTTCCCCTCTCCCATCAATGTGGGATCTCACAATCCACCCCTCTTGGGGGCCAGCGACACCGTTCGGTGTTTGACTCTGATATCATTGTAATCCCCCAAGTCCACCGCTGGCAGATATTGTCCTCCTTGGGCTATCCCTTCTAGGTTTCCCCGCAAAGTTTTAAAACGCATATGCTAGGAAGAGGTTTCCACACTCTTTTAAGGAATGTTTAGTTCCCCTCTCTAATCGATGTAGGATCTCACAATCCACCTCTCTAAGGGGCCCAACGTCCTCGCTGGTACACCGATGCAGGATCTCACATAGCATCACATAAAGAGTTTTCACATACCCGAGGGCCAAGGCACCAGACCACTGAAGCAAGAAGCCCAGAATTGCGGACAGCAGAATAGCCATTGTATTATTGAAGCTCCAGTTGAAAGTTAGAACACCAGGGGGGTCTAAGAAAGGTATTAAAGCAATAAAACCACACAATGTAATAGGTGTTGTCTTCCACATCAACCTATGAGGATATTTCAAAGTTCAGATTCAATCCCTAGTAATGTATCATGAAAAAGTGAAAACATGAATGATAAAATGTAGAACATACGCCATGGCTGTCCAGTTCTCCTGCTGTTGCAGACTGGACCAAAGAATCTTATTAACCGCGCTAGGAATGATCCATGCCAATGCAATACAAGCACCGAAGAGATCGAACTGCAGATCAGTCACCGTAGCCACAGCGACACCAACAGACACCACTACAAGCGCTAGGACCTTGATGAACAGAGAAGATTTATCAGAATCCAGAAATAAAGGCTAATGGTATATCAATGCATGTAACAGCCCAAGTCCGCCACTAGCGGATATTGTCCTCTCTGGGCTTTCCCTCAAGGTTTTAAAACGAGTTTGGTAGGGAGAGGTTTCTACACCCTCTCTAACCGATGTGGGATCTCACAATCCACCCCCCTTGGGGGCTCTACGTCCTTGCTGGCACACCGCCCTGTGTCTAGCTCTGATACTATTTGTAACAGCCCAAGTCCACCTCTAGCGGATATTGTCCTCTTTGGGTTTTCTCTTCTAGGCTTTCCTTCAAGGTTTTAAAACACGTCTGCTAGGGAGAGATTTCCACACCCTCATAAGCAATCCTTCGTTCCCCTCTCCAACCGATGTGAGATCTCACAGTCCACCCCCCTTTGGGGTCCAGTGTCCTCATTGGCACACTGTCCAGTGACTAGCTTTGATACTATTTGTAACCACCCAAGTTCACTGTTAGCAGATATTGTCCTCTTTAGCCTTTCCCTTCCGGGCTTCCCCTCAAGGTTTTAAAACGTATCTGCTAGGGAGAGGTTTCCACACCCTCATAAGCAATGTTCGTTCCTCTCTTCAACCGACGTGAGATCTCACAATACATATCATTAACCACATCGTCCAAACCATGATTTGTAATAATAAAGCCATGATAGCTTTTGAGAGAGTATACAAAAATTTCAGTATATAAAGGGCTTTATTTACCTTGAAGAAAGAAACTTTCTTTCCATATAATATAAACTCTGCCAATACAATGGATGGAGTTACAGCAATCTTTGCCATCTGATAAAACCCCACACTGAAGTTGATATTAGCATTCAGAATGTCACTAAAAAACATATCAAGGACAACAGGAGTGTTGACTCTCACCTATTATACTTCAAGCTCACATTCGCAAGCCCCGTAGATAGCGACATAACTAAACCAAGAGTAAGTAAAGTCGACGAACGAGTCGTCTTCGATAGCGGAGATGCAGGAAGGATAGCGAAAAAGTTGAAAATAGCCATCAATATCCAGCTGATGAAATAGTGAATGAAACTGAGAAATATAGGAAATGTAAAGCCAACAGTTTTAAGCACCTGAAGACACAGACAAAGAAAAACGCCACAATCGTTACCAGCTGCAAACACGACAATCCAATCCAACCCAATCCAATGAACGACAGCAGATAGACATCGAAATACCAACCAATTTATTCATGAAGATAATACTAACTGCAACAAAGAAATTGAAGGTAAGAGCAACAGCAGGACCACAAGAACGTTGCTGCTGACGTTTGGCACCTTCGGGCGAGCGAAATTTGCTAAATAACGATCCTCGCAAATCCTCCAACGATTTTCCTGATGTTACAAATTTGTCCAAGTTTTCATGATTGAAGAACCTTCAATTAGGATAGATTTCTAATTTCATCTCATACTATACTAATGTTTGTATGAACCATTCTAAGACAAATTCATCTACCAAAACAATACTAAATGGCGAAAACAAAACAATGTGATGATCTTAAAATGGATACTCATTGTCTTGGCATATACAACATGCAATTTCATAGAGGGCAACCATTTATAATACTTCCACAATAATCACTACAGATCAAAAAACAGAGCAATAGACCCTAACTTAGCGGCTACTCAAGAAACAAAATGGATATCAAACGACCAGATCTGATTAGCTACGAGTACCAAACTCACAAAGCCCTTCATGGGTAGGTGGGTTTATGGATTCTACATGAAAAGCATTAGAACAACCATCCGAAATGCAAGGGGAAATCCGCAAAAACACCCAAATTCAAACAAAAAAAGAGAAAGAAAGTACCCCTTTGGCCGGCATCGCTATCCTTGCGCTTGAGAATCTTGCGAACATCCTTTTTGAACAAGAATTTGAACATCACGGAAAGACCCAATAGCCGCGGATAATCGCTCTCAGTGGCGGCTGTAAGGAGGCGTATAATGGGGTTCGGCTAAGCGATAAATGGGTTTAAAATGGAGTTGAAATGGGTGTACGGACAAAACATGATTGGAAACAAATAACCCAAAAGCAGAAAATGGGAAAAGGAGGGTTAACCAGTGAAGTGAGTGAGTGAGTGAAAGAGAAAGAGAGAGAAGAGAAGAGCGTTAATGGCGGAAAATGGAAACAGTTGTCTGAGAGAGACGGAGAAATCCACGCGCCTTCCTTCCTTCCTTCACTTTCGCAATTGGCGGACAAATTCTTGACAGCCCCACTTGTTCTTCCCCCTTTAAAATCCCTTTTCCTCTGAATTTATGCTTAAAGATCCAATTTTTACTTTTTCTACCTAAAATTATTTTCAACCCAACCAATAAAATTACATCAAAAATTTAACCGATCGAGTAATAGCTCCGATAAACGGACTGATTATCATTTGAAATGTTAACCGTTGAGCTAAAAAATTGATCTTTTTTTCTTCTTTTTACCTTTACTTCAATCAATTTGTAATAACCCGAGTTTTGGCATAGTACTAATGGAGGTCGTTACTCAAAATTTACTAATTTTTTTAATTGAAAAGCATTATTGTTCCATTAATTTGAATTGAAAACTTAAAAACTAGTACTAGGGCGATTTTTGTAATTTGGCTTTTTTAATGGGTTAATTGTCAAATTTATTTTACGAGGGTGCCATTTTCGCAATTATGAAAAACAAGAGTTAAATTTCTACACAATCTTGCACCTTTGCGATTGAAGAGATAGATCCCATCTCACAATTCGTCAAATTTCACATCGGGAGGATCTTCGAATTCGTTCCAGCCGGAAAAATGCCTCCCAAATCGGAATCCTCCAGTCAGATCACTTCCGCCGCCGCATCGGCAGATGCTTCGTTCTCCTCCATCGACCCCATTTTCCACATCCTTCGTATTCTCCCCTTTTCTTTCCTCCGTCCGCCGCGCCTCCGTCTCAAGCTTCCGACCTTGACCCTCCCCTCTCCGATGACCGTCTACGCCCTCGTCCTTCTCACTTACTTCATGGTCATCTCTGGCTTCGTTTACGATGTCATCGTTGAGCCTCCTGGCATCGGATCCACCCAGGACCCGACGACTGGATCCGTCCGACCCGTGGTTTTTCTTCCTGGTCGCGTCAATGGGCAGTACATCATCGAGGGACTCTCTTCTGGGTTCATGTTCGTACTGGGTGGACTCGGAATTGTGCTCATGGACCTTGCTCTTGATCGGAATCGCGCCAAAAGCGTCAAGGTTTCGTATGCGTCTGCTGGGATTTCTTCTGTTGTTATTGCGTATGTTATGAGTATGCTGTTCATTCGTATTAAGATCCCCGCATACCTTCGTTGATATATGGTAGAGAAATTTAGGATCTACTTTAACCTAGTTTGAATTCCCTTTTGTCTCGAGGAATGGAGGAACCTATGCGATGTTACACATTTTGACATTGTTAATGAACTACTAGGCTGCTTTTGTTATATGCTTCTTATTTAAGAGCTAAAGCCTGTCTGCATCATTTCTATGGTTCTTGTTTATTTGCCTTGATGTGCGTGAGTGTCACAGTCATGCTCGTCCAGGGCGTGTTGCCCGTAGCTGCATGCCCATGCCACGCCATTGTATTTTCTGTTTGTACGACCGTTCGACGAAATCATGTCTCCGCTTCAAGGCTTGCCAGACCTAAATCGTCTCAAGCAGGCCTAGACATGATTTCGCGGAACAGTCATACAAATAGAAAATACAATAGTAAAGCAATACAAGACATGATTTCGTAGAACAGTCATACAAATAGAAAATACAATAGTAAAGCAATACAACGTGAGATAACATAAAGGGTTCGGTGTGGCATGGACATTGGACGAGCATGACCGTGACACTGAGCTTTCCTATTCTCCTATGCTGAATTCATGGTGTTCAATTGCTTGCTGGTGGTTTATATATAATTTCATTTCTATGGCTTTTGTTATGCATATGACTGATTCGCTAAGGCAACATTTGTGAGATCCCACGTCGGTTGGAGAGGTGAACGAAACATTCTTTATAAGGGTGTGGAAGCCTCTCCCTAGCAGACCATTATAAAACCTTGAGAGGGGAAGCCCGAAAGGGAAAGACCCATAGAGAACAATATCTGCTAGCAATTGGCTTTGACTGTTACAACATTGTTACAACATTGTTCGGTAGTATCTTTCCAGTTTCCTCAGCTTGTTTAACTTGTCATAGAGTTACATTTCTTCATGTTCTTGTCTCCTTTATAAGATTTTTCCAATGCCCTTTTAAAGCTCATATGAACCAAACTTTTTGCAAAATAACTGAGCTAATGATTCTTTATCTGATAGTCCATGTTGCTTCTTCTTGGAATTTGATAGCTTGATCTTGTAGTTAAGGAATCCCAAATACCTCTGTCAGATATGAAGGGTAAGCAAATTCTTTTGAACAATACACTGGTTGAAGCTTTATTCTTCATTCAATAGTATTGATTAATCAGGAATGACATGAAATCTCTACTGGATTAATGCATAATTTGGATATATGTTGTATAAGTGATATCTCATCCATATAATGACCACTTCTTTGATTTCAAGTGACAATGTATGTTATTAGATCATGTAAAGCCCTGCATAAAGAACCTTTTTGTAAACCCTGTTTAGGACTTGGGAGTGTGATGTCTCATCATCGTCCCCGTAACCGTCCCCAACCTTTTTAGAACTCTAAGACACGATAGTACGACCTATATAATAGATCCTGTTCAAGTAAGACGCTCTCAACTGACCGATTTTTGTACCACATTTTGGATTATGAATGAATTTCTCATGTCTTTTAGATTGTAGCAATGTGGGGGTTGCTGCATTTTGAATCTCTCTTAACGGAGAGTGTCTGCGCATGTGTTTTGATTCAACTCAAAGTTTGAATGAATCGTGTTGAATTCCATTATTTGCTCGTATCATAGAGTTGTGTGTATGTTTATAGTGTTCGAGTTTGCATTTTTAGCTCTTGCATTGGATATCCTGTTCGAGTTTGCATTGTTGATGTAAGTTACAGTTTGTAGGCAGGGGGCCTTGGTTTTCATATTTTATGTCAGTAACTTACCAGCATTCCACCTTAAACAACATCCTTAATACCCCAAACATTCAAAACATTCTCATTTTTAAACAATACTTCATACGTTAATCCTATGAAGCAGAGCAGACAACACCATTGTTGGCAAAAAAGAACAAACAGCTTACATCTTTTCCTACCATTGTCCTTTACATTTACATTACTCATTCAACCCTTCCTACCTCCAACCCTATTGTTGCTATCATCTGTAACTATAACACAAATATTAAACCAACTCTTGGCTTTCTCACTTCGAGAACGTATGCCGGGGCGAGAACAGACGGCGTGGCGAGAACATTCCCATGTATCTCGGTGACGCCAGGCCATCGATGGATCGATACTCTGGCATGATGAACCCCTCTTTCTCCTCTCGGCTCACCCCATTCCCTCTGCTGTTGAAAGTTCCATACTTCACCAATTTCCCCACCCATGACCTCTTCTTATGCGACCCTTTATGCACCCCGTTCATCTTGTCGCTCAAGTACATCCTCACCGCGTCTAACCCTTGCTCGATCACCTCGGGCGGGGGTGATGCTAGAGGGTTGCCTTCAACGTTGAGCTTCTTGAGATTCTTGAGGCAGCCAATGGAGTCTGGGAGGGAGGTGATCTTGTTGTAGCTAACGTCGAGCTCGACCAAGGAGATGAGGAGCCCAATGGAGTAGGGGAGGGCTTGGAGATATTGGAAGTTTTGGCTTACATTCAAGACTTGGAGGTTGATGAGATTCTCCAAGTCGTCAGGGAGTGACCGGAGGCAGTTGAGGTGCGTGTCGAGCACGCGGAGGGAGGTCAAATGGGAGAGCGAGTGGGGAAGGAAATCAAGCTTGTTAGAGTTGACTGCTAACTTCTTGAGATTGGTCAACTCAAAGCCTATGGTGTCTGGAAGCCTGGTAAGCTGGTTGAAGTTGGCATGCAACTCTTCCAATGACCTGTCATCATGTACACGTGGCATGCTTTACTTAAAATTCCAAGAATTTCAACTAAATTATCATTTTGAATAATATTTTCTGAAAAAAAATAAAAGGTAGTGATTTAAATTTATAAAATAATGAATTTATTATTAATAATTATTATAAAGTATCACGTTGGAAAAGTTGCGTAATAAATGAAAACAAAGAATTATTTATTTATTTAATTATTTATTTAAAAGTCTATAGTCTTTGTCGCTTTTAATAAATAAAAAATAAGCATTAAATGTGATTTCTTCTCCGCGTCCACCGCTACTAAATTCAAATCCATAGAAAATAAGCATTGACAAATTTCCTTTATCTTCTTTAAAATTTTAGTTGTTATTTTTTAATAAAGTTATTATATTTAAATTATTTAATATTTATTGTAGAAAAATAGTTTTAAAAAAAAGGGTGATTATCTTTGGCAAGTAACCAATTATTAATTAATGATAAATTATATAAATCATTAGAGATTTTTGTTTGATCTGTCTGTTAATTAATTTTTAATTTTATTGTATAAAAAAAATTCCAATTTTCTTTTTAATAATTGGAATAAGAAACTTAATTAATTTACTTGCTGGCGTACGCTTCTGATCTCACGCCATGAATTTAAAGCTTAAATATATATATATATATATTTTTTTTTTTTTTTTTGCTCAAATTTAAAAATATATATATATATATATATATATGTAATTTTCGATATTAAAAAATATATTATTGTTTAATCAAATGAAGCTAAATTCTTAAAATATAATAAAATATTATAAAAGGAAAGAAAAAAAAAAAAAGAAAAGGGCAAAAAAGGAATTGTACGAGAAGAAACAAAATCTGGTTTGGGTTATTGATGTGATGTGTCAGATAACAAAACAGAAAATCCATTAATTAGGAAAACAATATACCATATTCATAACCTCGTCTATTTATTTCTTCTTTTTTTTTTAATATTTTTATTTTCTGATGAATTATACATAAATGATGAGAAGCAAAAACATGGAGCTGTTTTACTTTTACTATCATCATCTTAATATTTTATATTTATATATGAATCTCGAGAGACGAAAATTACCTGCAATTTTCGATCGTGGAAGGAAGAGAAACCATGAGGTTACCAGAGACATTAAGAATCTTGAGTTTCGAGAGACACCCAATAGAATTCGGAAGAGACTTAAGTTGATTCGAATGCACATCAAACGACACCAAATTCAACAACCGAGCCGTCAACGATTCAGGAATTACCTTCAAAACCAAAAACCCTAATATTAAAAATCAACAAATATCGATAAGACATCGGCACCAAAGTCAAAAAGAAATAAATGAAAGTATTGACTAAATGGGAGGGATAAGGATAAGGATAAGGATAAGGATCGATATTGAAACGAAGAACATGGGTTTATGAATTTGTGTTCACGTTGTTCGTTCTTCGTTCGTATGATATTGTCAATATAAACTATAAACTCACGATCATTCCCTGAGTTAGTCGGACGAATAAGAATCGATTTACCTGAAGATTGTTGTTGGAGAGATCGAGATGGGAAATTGAAGCGAGATTGAGTGTTGGATTGGGGAGAGATTCAAGAGATAAGCCACTCAAATCCAAATCCACCATTGGCAAAGCTTCATCACAGTCTTCGCTATTGTTCTTGGATGGGCGCCATCTGTTTAGCTGCTGCGGCTTCTTCTGGGCCTGAAAATGGTGCCCTGGTTCGTACATCATCCTCGGTTTAGAAAAAATCGGTTTTTTTTGGGTTTGGTTTTTTGGTTTGGTTTTGCAGTGAAGAAGATGAGAGAATTTATAAAGAAGGAAGGACGTACGGAGGAGGGAAGTTAAGTACCTCGATGACCGACGGTTCTGTTATTAAATTATTTATTTATTTATTTATTTATTTATTTATTTTAGTTTCGAATATCTCACTAATTTTTTAATTTTGAGATTAAAATATATATTTTTTAAATGTTTTAATTTTATGTGGAATAGAATAATGGAATGGCGTTTCTTACTAGCCAACTTGACAAAGTCAACCCTTTTGTCCTTCCCAATTTCTCTTTTTAATTTTTAATTATTCAAATTTTCAAATTTTTAATTCTCACTCATATTTATGGGAAAACAAATCATTCACTTTTTTATTCCTTTTATAACATTAAGTTTCTCTGCAAAATTAGAAAAAATTATAATTATATTTTTTCCAATTTTTCTTTTTGTAACAGATCGATTTTACCCGTTACTTATCGTCATCCGCTTATATTTTGTTCTCATCTCCAACTGATGTGAGATCTCACAATCCACTTCCCATTAGAGCCCAGCATCCTCAGTCACACATCGCCCTATGTTTGGCTCTAATACCATATTCTCAATGCACCCCCTTGAGGGCCTAACATTCTCAATGTGATATCATTATAATAACTCAAAACCACCGCTAGCATAAAATTGTCTCTTTTG